TTGAAGCTCTAGCATTTTATTTTAGACCAAAAGAATCCAAAAAAGAGAAGAATACAGCTGTACAGGCTTCAGTTCCTGATACAAATCACATGTATGCGTAGAGAACCACTTAGTGTAGACATTACCATGACAACAAGTATCATGTACCTAATGTCCCTCAGTACCTCTTGAAAGCTGTCATTAGCCACGTTTACATGCGCCTGATAATCCGACATTCGGTAGCTCATATGGTCCAGTCATTGCATCAACTTCTTATATTTTGGCCATATAATCATGAACATTTAGTTCTCTGGACTTTTATGTAGGGAGTTTAATAGAGTTTCAGGCCTTTTACTTCATAAACACGGTTATGCCCACCTATCAGTGCTACATTCTACAGTCCATACAAAGAATTTAATAATATTATGGTATATTAATACCAAATCAGACTGTATTCCCAGTCCCAACCAATCAGATTTCAGAACTGGAACCATTTTATAATTGACATTTTCTTTGATTTTCTGGTTGCCATGTCCATCCCTGAATCAGACAACACTTCATTGAACAAAAAGGTGCAGTTCTAAAACAGACTGAGTCACATTTACGGCATTCAGGTTTGTCTCGCTCAGTTTTCAGATACAGCAGATTCTGTATATGAAAACAGATGCTGTGCGTTTGGGCCGTTCCACTCGTGTGGAATCCGACTTTTAATTAGGAACATGTTAGGTTAAAGGCACATTTGCTTCACTCCAGCTGCCAGGTTGGGTTGGTTTCGCCTGCGAATGCAGAGTCCAGAGCTAGGAGAGTTTCCCCAAACCAAGAAACCACACTGAGCCCAAGAGCCAAAGCTCAGCACTGTTTAATGCGTTTAAAGTCTGGTGGCTGATGTCAGAAATAAAGTGTAATACAAGAGATGTCATTATGAGCACAACATGTCTCCACACCGCAGTACTGCATACGTATATGCAGCACATATATGACGAAGTTTCATTTATTTAACTTCCAGTCAGACTGACCACTGAGTACATCACATAAAATGATCTACTTGCATAAATAAGGTGAAACTCAAAGCAAAATAAATGAAAAAAGCTTCCTAAATGGGGCACAATTAAAAGCTACAGAGAAAATGAGACCCCTAACAACCACCTGGAACGCCTGGTAGACCACTAAAACTGTCCCTACCAGATAAACAGCACTTAAAGCTTTCATCTCTGAGAGAGAGGAGAAAATCAAGCTGCTTCAGATCTGAAAACATCCACAGGTGTTTCTGTCCATCCTTCCACTGTGAGAAGACGACTCAGCGCTGTGGGTCTGAAAGGACGTGTAGCTGTTCAAGAAGAACCTCTCTGAGAAAAGGAGAGACACTTCAAAGAAGCTGAACAATGGACTGACCACCCCAGAGTCCAGACCGCAACATCACTGAATGGGTTTGATTACTTGGATCGTGTGAAGCAGAAAATGCTAAACCAACTTCTAAGACTGAACTTTGTAGGTGTGGAAAAATATCCCTGCAGATTTCTTTGAAAAAATGCAAGTGAATGTCCTGGTAGGTCAAATACTGACCCACATCCCCTTTCAATCTAATGCTGGCTTTACTTGTGAAACTTGCATGCAACTTTTGTTGCGTGAAACTTACATGAAACCTAATTTCACTTTAGTTGCGTAATGTAAAAGGAAACAGACACATCAAACAAATAAGCTGCTGGTGTTCTCAGAACAATGGACTGACCACCCCAGAGTCCAGACCGCAACATCACTGAATGTGTTTGGGTTACTTGGATCGTGTGAAGCAGAAGGTGCAGCCAACTTCTAAGACTGAACTTTGGAGGTGTGAAAAAATATCCCTGCAGATTCTTTGAGAAACTGAAAGTGAGTCTCCTGAAAAGAATAGAAGCTGTAATTAAAGGCAAAATGTATGTAGTTGTTGAGGGATCTGTGTGATTTCCTGTTAAATATATGTTGTACTTGTGCTTAATGTACATTATTTTGAGCTGAAGTTCAATAATTGAGGGTGGTCTCTGACTTTTGCTCAGTACTGTATTATATTCCATATGGAGAGAGAGAGAGAAAGTGCAAGAGAGGCAGGGAGAGAGAATGTAGGCATGTGCGCCCATAGTCGCTCCAGTTGGTCAATGGTTTTCTACTTTGTTTCTCCCTGGAAACTGTCTGGGACCAATATAACACAATGAAGCAATAACTGTCTTTCTGTTTTCTCTCTGTCTTGCTCTTTTCCTCCCTCGCTCTTTTTACACTCCTCAAGCACATCATGTCACTCTCTCCCCAAAGCTGAAACAACACTAGAGTGGCCTATAGAAATGCCCCATTACAACTGCACCCTGTCTGCAACGCACGCTATGACCTTAGAGCTGCTTTTAATGCTTTTCCCATCAGAGCAAAACTGAAAGCGCTCACGCAGGAGTGCGAAATGCCTCCCACCAGCCGAGGGCGACCGGTCATCTGAGTTTCTGATCGCAAATTCCTTCCAGTTAACTCTGTTTAGCTTGTGCATTATGGTCAGTGGGTCTGTGGTTGAGGCACAGCGAGGCCTGCTACTGCATTAGTGCAGACAAATCAGCGCCTTGACCACAAGGAAGCAGATGTTGTGTTTAATGTGTAATGTTAATGTTTAACAGGCTCTAAAGCTTGACCAGCGAGAGCGTGGTGATCTGTTTCTAACAAAATCAGTGATTCATTCCTGATGATGGCATATCCAGCCACTCATATGAATCTATATGATGTCAAATACTGACCCACATCCCCCATTTGAATCTAATGCTGCCTCTACATGGTGAAACTTGCATGCAACTTTTGTTGCTTGAAACTTACATGAAACCTAATTTCACTTTAGTTGCATAATGCAAAGCGTCCTGAAACTCAGCCAGTGAAAATGCCGATAATAGATTGTGAATTTGTTAAATGACAAAATTGTAAATGCATGTTTTAACTGTCAATGGACAATAAAATAAAAAAGAAGCTGGTTTATTGGATGTTCGAAAATGACATCCCTTTTCGAGCAACCAACGTTTGTTTGTTGTCCTGGTTTAAGTTGTCCTGGCCTCAGACACTCCACCCACAAGGAAACAGAGCACCTAAGGCCGAGACTACCTGAGCCAGCACAACAAACATGAGCTTCTCAAACCTAATGTTTCTGTAACCTTAACCAGCCAGCTGACGCTAACCGGTTCCACTGTTTATTCCTTTTTAGTCTGCTCTTATTATGATCTGCATTGCTAGATTATTCAAGTTTCCTCTCTCGATGCCCCCTAATTTTATACAGAGCACAGATTCCTTCAGGGGCCTCTGATTGGCTGTTTTTTGGGGTTTTTTTTGTAATGAGGTTTATTTAATCCCCCTACCAAGATTGGTAACAGGCAACCTAATCAAATGGAGAAATACTATCTATTAAGCCAACTATTTAAGTTCTTAATGTTAATTTTTATTTAATTTTAATTTAATTTTAGCCCACTGAATCAGACGGAGGCCTGATGTTGATGCTTTTACAGAGTAAACTGTACTGCTCACATATGAGCTTACGTTGAAGTTCACCTCAAGTTCAGTACAAATTTCTGTACAAAAACTATGACCGAGTATGGATTTTAGTTTTTTTGGTTCTGAGTTTAAGTTTGGTGAGGCTGAACATGGCTTCCTCGCCAGCTTCTTAGTCGAAATTTCTGTTCCACCTTAATGCTAATCCTGGCCCTAATCCTAACCCTAACCTTAACCTCAACCCAAAACCTAATCTGAACCCTCACCCTGGCCCTAATCCTAATACTACTGAGAGTCTGTTGAGTGTTTGTTTCGTCTAAAAGGACAACTCAAAACAGACTGTCACCAAAATGTTTCATCACTTTTGCACAGGCAATTTTTAACACATTTTATGTGTTATTTTTAGCAAATAAACAGTAACTGTGCATTAAAACGTGCAGACGTGTGTTCTCTGTAGAGGACATGTTGACTTATTTTCAATTACAAAATCAACAAAACATTTCATTTGACCAGGGGTGCCAAAACCTTTGCATATGACTGTATGTAGATCACCACTTAAAAAATTCTACAAAGACAAAAGTGTCTTAAATGTAGCTAATATGTTGCAGATAACTTATTTAGCGAGGGCCCAAATGTGTTGCGTGCAACTTCTGAATTTCTGAATTGCTTCATGTAACTGCAAAGTTGTGTGAAAATTATGTTGCATGCAAGTCACAACAACATATCCAAGCAGCAACCACGACACCTCTGAAACACACCCAATATAACCAATGAAGCTGTCTACACCAGTTGCGAGCAGCAGAGCGCGTTGCAGTGCGATGTGACGTGCTATTTTTGATGCGTCGTGTTGTGTCGCTCCGAGCCTTCCAGTAACTATTATAAGGATTTTAACACACACACAAACACATTATCTAAGCCACTTGTCCTTCTGGGTCATGGGGAGAGCTGGAGCCTATCCCAGCGGTCATTGGGCGGAAGGCAGGACCACCCTGGACAGGTTGCCAGTACATCGCAGGGCAGGATTTTAATAGAAAGTAATCATTTGGAGAGAAATTGTCAGAGGAAGTTAGAAGTAAATAAATACAGCTTGCTTTGTGTCACTGACTGATAAGGACACTTAGCTAGCTAGCTAGTACAAATTAGTAGATACAACTGAGCTGCCCCACATAATACCGTAGCTAGGATACCCACCCATTTTAAAGTCTCAAGCTATTTTCTGATAGTTCTGTGGTTTGTTTACATTTTGACTTGATGCACTAGCTTGATGTTTCCAGTGTGCACATCTTAAAGGCCTTGCAACATGATGTGATGCTACATTTGAATGCTCACTTGCTGTTAGAACACAGTGTGAGTGAGTCCCAGTCCTGGCCCTGGAGTTCCCCCGTCCTGCAGATTATGGTCTTTTCCCTGCTGTAACACATCCACTTCAACTGAATCATGTTGGTTAGAGCATGGAAAACACCAGAATATCCAGGCCAGGGCATTGCACTATTTTGATTCAACATAATAAACAACATATCAGAGTAAACATTTACTTGTTTTGCGTGCCGGGCGGTTGCTGCTGGAGGTCAGGGCTGGCTTCACTTTGACCCAGCTGTGCTTTTCTTTCTCTTTCTCCCAGCCATGAGGGCTGGTACTGTCCCCGCTGTCCACACAGGAGATCACCTCATCTCTGGCTTTCTCTGTCAGGGTCATGGCTCCAGGCCCAGTCCAGCTGACCCCTCTACTGACGGGGTCGTGCCCCCTCTCCATCCCTTCCTCCCGGCCTGGGGCTGTCGGTGTTCAGCAGGGGCAGTTTTAAGTGTTTAAAAGCAAAGAGAGTCTCCTGGTCTGCGGCGTCCCGTTCGCCTGCTTGCCTGGGCTTGACCGCTTGTGTTCGACTGGAGGCGGCCCAGAAGGGAGGGGGTTTTCAGCTCTTTGGACTTTGTCCTGCCCTCAAGACCCACAAGCAGGATCAAACGGTATGGCTTCGGCTCTCCATCTGCCTGCAGGTTTCTCTCTGGAGTAATCCGTCTGAGTAGACAGAGAAGTGTTGAAAAGCCACGCTTTCACTTTGCTCCCTACTCCCCACGATGTTACTCAAGCTCTAACTGGACTGTCCTGTGAGACTCCCTCTCTTTCTCTTTCTGATGCACCCTGGATCGGTTCCCATGGACAAGAGCCAAGGATATTTCACAATTGCGATCAGATCCGCCACAGGCTGAAACACCATCCACTGTTGTGCTCGGGTCTGTTTTCCTTCACTGATCCAGACATTTCTCTTCCTCTCTTTATTCTCCCACCCCTTTTAGTGTAGCCCAACGTCCAGGAGGCTGGCTGCAGCTCTCGAAAGACACGTGCACGCCCCTCGCTCTTGAAATATTTCAACAATGCCTGAAAAGAAGGGCAGCGTTGGGTAGCTTCCTGTAATTACTTTAGGGCAAGAAACCACCATTCAGCCGAAAGGTCGTCCAGACTTTGCTGAATGTCACTGTTGAAGAGACCCTTATTTCATCAAGGATTTATTGTTCCTTATGTGTATGTTAGTATTATAAACAGATTCCTGACATTGTAATCCCTCTGTATCCTCACAGTGCTGACAGATTCGCCCTGGGTGGCTTGATCAAGCTCTGTGCTCTTGCAATCAGTGCCAGAGTTGATGGTGGGTTTATTTGTTCTGTTCAGATTAGGTCTAAGGAGATGAGGCTGCTCAGGAAAAGCAGATGGCTTATCAAGACTGAGTGTGTCTTGACTTCTTCTTGATGATCCTAGAACTCCCACTGCTGCAGGGGCACCAGGGGCTGGAGTTGCTGAGATGGCTTCCTCTTGTCGACTCCCACCTGAAACAGAAAAGAATGAATCAGAATGCAGGGCGTGCTATAAAGAGTCCTACGTATACAACTATGTGGTGAGGCAGATGCAGCTTGGCTTTGTACTCAGCTAAAGGAGGGACATTTCCTTTGGTTTTATTAATATTTTTCCAATCATCTGTGGAAGCGACACCCCTCCCAGTGAATTATTATCGGAAAGAATGAGACGAATTTCCTACTTGTGAAATACAACAATGCCAAAGTCATTTTTCTATCGACTAATCTTCGGGGAGAAGGAAAGGGTGGCAAAGGCAACTAGGTGTTTCCTAAATGGGGGCTGAAATGTGATAAAGCCCTGTTCCTCATCATGAAAGCAGGGAGGGTTCGAATGCTTTCGGGGTGTCAGCACCTGGAAATATCCCAAGAATGTGCACTCACGCTCTGTTCTGAGTATGTACTGCTGCATAAGCTTTTGTGCAATGGAAAGCCACAAACTGAACCAGGTCCAGGCAGAGTTTCAAGGTAAAAAAGAAAAAGAAAAAACAATCTGCAGGGCGTAAATCACCTCTAACCTATGCTGGCCAGTGTCTCTCGTATGCTGTGGAATGACAGCCTGAAGGCATGTGAAGTGAAGAGCCACTATTTGTCACAATCACCTCCTCTCACTCCAGTGGAGAACCCCTCAGAGCCTTCTACGCCTTCAGCCTAATGAATTCTGAGAAATAATAACAAAATGTGTGCCTGTTGTATTTAAACTCTGCAACTATTGTAGTACTACTATTTTATTGTTAAGTTTTGGTGGGAAACTAAGGTGTTCAAAACTTGAAATGCCCAACAGAAAACTGTCCACTCAGGTTTTTTTTAAATTTGGTATCTTAACAGATTCATCCACATGAGCTCTTCCATTGGTTAGGCCTTCAGGAGCTGGACTGAAGGCCTACTATGTCGGATGAACACCATATCAGCCCAAATATGGTCCTCACTCTCACAACTACAAAACTTATTTATATCATTTACTATTTGAGTAGTTATCAAATAGTACACTGACGTTCTTAAAAACAAATGTTCCAAAAAAATATATATGTAAACCTTTAACTTACATTATCATATGGATGCTCTTCAAACTTACACGTTAAAAAGGTTTACAAAAGGTTTACAAAGTTTTTAAAGCAGTGGTTCTCAAACCAGTTCTCAGGGAGCCCAAGACAGTCCATATTTTTGCTCCAACCAATCTTGCAGTAAAGATCTGAGAGATTAAACTTGCAATTGTGCAAAAATGTGGTCCATCTGGAGGTCCCGGAAAACCAATTGTTTACAGGATCATCAATAGAAAGGTTCTATAGGGACACTATAGCGAGCCAACGTTATTTTTATAAGTGTAGTAAATAAATAATAAGCCTTTGAGATTAATAAGCGTTCTGGAGGTTGACTAATAATAAGGAACTGAGAGTGAAATAGATCAATTATGTTTTTATTTACAATGGATGGAACCAATTTAGTGAGAAAAAAACATGACTTCAGGCCTTCTAACCAGTTTCAGTCAGTCATTAAAAAAGGAAAACAGTTCTACGCCAGTGCTCTTCACTGAATGAGTGGGTGTAAAACTGCTAAACACAAGGTAAAATACATGTTATTGTCTGTTACAAGCTTCAAATAAAACATGGAATGTCTTTCGCAAGAGCGAAACGTTCGCAGTTAATCTAGGCCAAAAAATGTTCATGTGAATTGCTGGTAGCTCAGTGCTAACATACTACTGCAATCCCAAAGAGGTGCTAGCAGGAATTGGTATTATAATAGAGGAGTTTTTCTTTGTTTTTGACTTTTGAGTTCTGACATTTATGGCCCGAACTGAAGGCCTAGCTCTAAAAATCACAGTTTGCCACTGTTTCACACGCAGTTAAAACCTATTACAGCCTACACAGACACAAATTCCCTCTTCTGCTCCTGATGGCTCATGCTCTTGCTGAGATCAGACACATCTCCCTCCCTACGCCTCCGTCCTGCGCTTCGTGATGTCAGCGCCAAATTGAAGACAATTGACTCAAACAAACCCGCTTGTCTACAATGGCCTTCAGATCAGCGCTCTCTGTCACGATACTGGAGTGAAAAACAGCTGCATTGTTCAGATTTGCTATCGGGAGATGGGTCCTTTGATGGTAACCATTAACGTTTATCACTTCCAGGCAAGTTCAAGCTGCATTCAATCCAGCTAGTTTGGACCACTGTACTTATCAAAACCAGGGTTCTGAAAGGATTGTGTTGGGGTTATGGAGTTCAGGATGCAACCAAAAGGCTCTCTAGTGTTTTGAATTATTTCTTTTGGTTCTTAACACTTTGAAGGACCATGCCAAGACAGCAAGGCCTGCAACAGTACATTAAGGAAACTTCAGTGCAGCCGCAACCACAATACACTGCAACCATAACCACAAGGTCACAGGTTCAGATATCTTCAGCATCAAAGAAACAGGATTAAGTATCAAAGGCCTGCAGGTTCTAAAGTACCTTCTGCAGTACTCCTATTATTATAACCTAAATGAGGCATGCTGTAAGGAAAAGATGATACAGCACAGTGGACCCCAACCCTGCTCCTGTCTATCCTGCAGGGTTTAGTTCCAACCACATCCGCCCCAGCAAAATACTGTCTTTAGATGATGTTGGCTGGCTGGATCAGGTGCGTTAGTGCAGGTGAGAATAGTCTGCAGGGGTTGGCAGCCATGGATACAGCAGAAAACCTCCAACTTGTGAGTCAAGGTTGAAATTGCTGTAATTCAGTAGTATTTATGTGGTGCTTTTCGTACCAGAAGTGTCCCAAAGTGGTTTTGCAGAAATGTGGTTGCAGCTCCGTAATGAGCGTCAAGGATGGAGACTGGCAGAAATTCAGTAGACTGAGAAGGAGAGACTCTCTAAGAGCATAAAGAACACTGAGAAAAAACAAGACTCAAAAGGAGAAGCTCGCTAAGAACGTGAGGAACATTAAGTGGAACCAAGACTCAAAAGGAGAAACTCTCTAAAAGCATGAGGAAGAATCACCAAGAGGAACCGAGACTCAAAAAGAGAAGCTCACTAAGAATATGAGGAACACTAAGTGGAACCAAGACTCAAAAGGAGAAACTCTCTAAGAGCATAAAGAACACTGAGCAGATGTTCTTCAGACTGTTCGAGAAAGTGCTGTAGATGGTTCTATATGGAACCTCTTTGAAAACGGTTCTCTATAGCACTTTTTGTTACAATGTCAAGTTTGAAACAATAAAAGAACCCTTTTTGGTTCTGTGTGGAACCGTCTACAGCACATTCATGCACATTCTCCATCAATCTGAAGAACTATTTCATGATGCAAAGAACCCTTTAATCATGCCAAGGGCTCTTTGAGTGTTCATGGTTCTATATAGAACCACTCTCTTTACTAAAGAACCCTTAAGAACCATCTTTTTTAAGAGCGTACAGACTATTGTAGCACCAGTGTAGGAGGTGTGGAGGCATGTTGACACCAGATTTAGCAATGTTTAAACCTTTCATTGGCACTGCTATCATATAGAGACCCATTTAGAACCAGGTGGAAACCTTACAGGTTCTTTATACAAACTGTCCCATTCAACCGATGACCAAATATGGTTCCCTGGTGCAGCGCCAAAGCTCTACCTGTAGGATTTCACTGTAAGAGTTTGTGCCAAGGTACCCGTATCAGCTCCCATCGGCAGAGCGATTAGGGAAACAGCAGATGGTGATCACTCATCTTGAAGTATTCAGTGAGTGTGTGACTGTTATCAGTGGTGTGTAGAACACACACACACACACACACACACACACACACACACGTCTTTTCAGTGAGGTAAGCTGTTTGCTCTCCTCCACTGCTCTCCAGCTATTTGTTTTTCCTTTGCACTCGTTAGTTGTCGCTGAACGCTGCCAAACTGCTCCAGGCCTAAACCAGTACGAGCCCATTTACTGCAGCTAATGAGTTGGTCCTCGTGATTTATGGGCCTTTACGCTGTGATTCAAGGGCTCTCTCTCTCTCTCTCTCTCTCTCTCTCTCTCTATCTGTCTCTTTATCTCTCTCTCTCTCAGTGATAAGCTGAGTTACAGTCATCTCTGAGACACTGAGTGACGCTGCTTCCAGGATCCTCTCTAATCTCCCTGATCTATTACAGCCTGCCGGGCCTGGATCTGTCTCACTCTCTCACTCACTTTCTTTCTCTATCTCTTTTTCTCTCACTCATTTTCTTTCTCTATCTCTCTTTCTCTCACTCTCTCTCTCTCTCTCACTCTCTCACTCATTTTCTTTCTCTATCTCTTTTTCTCTCACTCATTTTCTTTCTCTATCTCTCTTTCTCTCACTCTCTCTCTCTCTCACTCTCTCACTCATTTTCTTTCTCTATCTCTTTTTCTCTCACTCTCACTCTCTCACTCACTTTCTTTCTCTATCTCTCTTTCTCTCACTCTCTCTCTCTCTCACTCTCACTCTCTCACTCGCTTTCTTTCTCTATCTCTCATCACTCACCCTCTAATTCTCTTTCTCTCACTCTCTCTCTCACTCACTGTCCCACTCACTTTCTCACTCACTCACTCTCTCACTCTCTCTCACTCACTGTCCCACTCACTTTCTCACTCACTCACTCTCTCACTATCTCTCTTTCTCACTTTCTCTCACTCCCTCTCTCACTCTCTCTCTTACTCGCTCAAAATATCTCACCTTCTCTCTCACTCACTAACTTATTCACTCTCTCAATCTCTCTCTCTCACTCACCCTCTCATTCTCTTTCTCTCTCTCTCTCTCTCTCTCTCACTCACTGTCCCACTCACTTTCTCACTCACTCACTGTCTCTTTCTCTCTCTCTCACTCCCTCTCTCATTCTCTCTCTTACTCACTCAAAATATCTCACTTTCTCTCTCACTCTCACTCACTCACTCACTCACTCACTCTCTCACTCACTCACCCTCTCATTCTCACTTTCTCACTCACTCACTGTTTCACTATCTCTCTTTCTCACTCTCTCACTCCCTCACTCACTCTCTCAGTCTCTCTATTACTCACTCAATATATCTCACTCGCTCTCTCACTCACTCTCAGTCACTTTCTCTCTCACTCACTTTCACTCTCTCACTCTCTCACTCACTCTATCACTCACTCATTTTCACTCATGCAGAGCCTGCTCTCTCTCTTTTTCATTCTCACTTTCTTTCCCTGTTTCTCTCTCATGTGTCTCTTTCTTTCCTCACTGTTTCATTCTTTGTCTCTCACAAACACTTTATCTTTCTTAATTTTTTCATTCGTTCTCTCTCCTTTCTCTCTTGTCTCTCTCTATTTCTCCCACCCTAGTCTTTTTCTTTTGCCCTTCTATATCTCTTTCTCCCTCTTACTCTCTCTTTATCATGTTCTCTTTCTTTCTTTCTTTCTTTCTTTCTTTCTTCGTTTCTTTGTGTTCTTTTTCTTTTCTTTCTTTTTCATGGTCTCCTTCTCTATCTCTTTCTCTTTCTCTCTCTCTCCCTCTCTCTCTCTCTCTCTCTCTCTCTCTCTCTCTCTCTCTCTCTCTCTCTCTCTTTCTCTCTCTCTTTTTCATACAAAGACTCTTTTAAGCACCTGTAAGTGCCCTGAAAAATAATTTGGGGCTTGTTCTCTGTGATCGACATTCCTTCAGAGTAATGTTCAGAGAGCTCGCCGTGACCGACATGCCTCAGCTTGTGTGTGTTAGTGACAGACAACCAAAACACCGTCAGCAGCTCTGAGAAGCTCAGAGACCACGGAGCGTCCTTTAGGGGGAAAGACAAAGACACGGACCCCCTGTGAAATTTTAAGATCCCCTACAGTAAAGTTACATATATTTCACATGTGAGCAAAAATCACGTGTTTACAAGTAATAACATTTTTTCATGTGAACACACATTGTTTTCGCTTTTTGACATGACTTTTTTGTAAGTTCAGTAATGCAGCTACTGAATAAATGAGTTCGTTGGATATTATTTTGGCCTTACGACACACTGAATGTGTCTCTCCGCCATGATTATGTTTTTATAAAGTTATTTTAGGCCATAATCTGTCCTCAAAACTATCATACCACAATGTCTCAGACATCAGACGGCATGCAATAGCTGTCTGAGAGGGAACCTAAAGAGGCATTAAACTCTTCAGACGTCTGGTTCCTATCAACACCACTGCGAGTGATTTTGTTTACATCTTAACGACTGGATTATGCAAAACTTTGAAAAAGAAATGTAAAATTCTCACATGAATTTCTGTGCAAATTCTACTCAGAAGTGATAAAAAGAAAGTAATTACATTTGGATAATATATCAGAAATAAAGGTACTAAACTGTCACTGGGTCAGTGCCCCTTTTGTCAATGGGGTGGTATCCTCAAGGGTCCATCTCAGTACCTTTAGTCAGGGAACATAATCGTACCATAATCCATTGAAATGATAGTTTCTAAGTTGTACTGACTCCACACACCCCGTCTCGTCTCCAGGCTTTATTTTATTGATCTGTTTTAAAACATTCGGTTATGAAAAGGTACAAATACGAACTTTTCACCTGGAAAAACTTATTTAAGGTGCACAGTTGGACCTTAAAACCGCTGTTGTACCTTTGAGGACACATTTACATTGTTTGTACCTTGATGAACGAAAAATGTACCTGCACAGAACCTTTATTTCTCACAGTGTACATATCAGCTTTATTTTGGTTAGCAAGTAGCTTTTAATAGTACTGAATAATGTCTTAAGATTAATGATTAATCATGTATTAATTAATAATTGTGCATTCCTGTTGCTAAAGCAACCTGAACCAGCATGAGTGCCATCTGGTTAATATCTGCACACTTCAGTCCTTCACTCTCAAAACTACACAGTTTATATATTAATGTTGCAATAGCTGAATAGCTTGTAGAGCCTGATTCTTTAATGTAGTTACTGAATAACACAGAGTCCAGTACAGACCAGACAGCCCTTCTAATTTGGTGCTGATACAGGTTTCAGCTGTTGCTTGTATAATCTTCCTATCTAGAATCTAGAAAAGCATTGATCAGTGAAACGGGACGTTCTGAAGCAGCCGACGGTCACCAATGCCAATCATCAGCAAGAGGGGTATAAAGCGCCCAGCATTGGGCTGTGGAGTAGGTGAGCAGTGGAGCTGTGTTTTCTGGAGTGATGGAGCTCCATCCAATACCTTTGGGATGAGTTGGAGTGATCCAGAACTGATCATCCAACATCAGTACCTGACCTCACTAATGCTCAATCAAATCCTCACAGCAATGTTCCAACATCTAGTTTAAAGCCTTCCCAGAAGAGTAGAGGCTGTTACTGCAGCAAAGGAGGAAGAAACTCCAATTTAATAGCCTTGATTTCAGAAGACACACTGAACGAAACACTTCTGCATATAGAGCGCAAGTGTTTATATTAGTGTCTGAATAATAAGGCAGTTTAAAGGGTTAGCAGTGCCTCGTTTAATCCCGCAGGTGAAGGAGCGGTGAGGTGGAGCAAAGCCAGATGCCTAGCAGCCCGCTGCCGTCTGCAGCTCAGCGGCTGATGTATAAGTCATTACTCATTACGGTCGCTAAGATACCGCTGCACCGGATACATACTCTATTGACTCTCCTGTTACTGCACACCACTGCTCAGCTCCAGCACAGCAACCACACAAAGACCAACCCCACACTTTTTACTGACCTGAGAACACACTTTTCTTAGAGTAAAAAGATGTAAACACAACCTCTGCAGCAAAACCTGCGACTGATTATGCACAGTTACATTACATTTGATGAACTTAAAAAGTAGGAAAGAAACACCGTTCAGAGTCGGTACTCAGTAACACCCACGCTGGCAGATATCACAGCTTGCAAACACTTTCTGCACTCTTTCTATTCTTGTTTAGGAATTTTCTCCCACGCTTCCTTGCAGAACGCTCCTAGTTCTGCGATATTGCCCGCATATTTCCAGTGATGTTCAAAGCTCAGGGTTTGTGAGGGCCATTCTGCATCTTGCGTTTCTTGAAGTGGTTCATGGTGGATGTTTTGGATCACCGTCCAGCTTCAGTTTCGTGGTTGACTGTGTCTAATTTGCTGATGTTTAGTGGAATCCATTCGTCCATCTACATATGTACTGTTTCCTGTGCACTCTCACTGGGGCAGTACCCCTCATGTCCCTGGGGTGGGACCCTCAAGGGTACATCTCAGTACCTTCAGTTGGGGAACATAACTGTACCATAATCCATTGACTCCACATACCCCGTCTCGTCTCCAGGCTTCTTATTTGTACTTTACATGTACTTTTCACCTGGAAAAACTTATTTAAGGTTCACAGTTGGACCATGTTGTTTCTAACAGTTTGCTATTGGCTACCACATAACCTCAAAGAATAAAAGGACCACCTCCATGCTTAACAGTTGGCAAGGTGTTCTTTTCATCAAATGCTGCCTCCTTTTTCAAAGCATATCTGGCCAAAGAGTTCTATTTTTACTTCATCACTTGTTTTCAAAATGCCTCTAGCTTGCCTAGATGTTGTTTTGCATACTTCAGACGATCACCTTTGTGAGGAAGTCAAAGGTAATGTTTCCTTCTAACGACTTTTAAAGGCAGCTCATGTCTGTGCAAGCAATGCCACACAGCAGACTGGTGCAAGATCACTCCTGTGTCAGCTAAACCTTCTGCAGGTTCTTTGTTGCCATGTGGGGGTTTTGCTTTGCCTTTCTGGTCAGCATATGAGCAGTTCTATCTGAGAGTTTTCCTGATCTACTAGATCTTGCCTTGACTTTCACATTTCCCCTTAAGAAGCACTTCTTAATGGCATTTCGGACAGTGGGAATTATGAGATGGAAGCACTTTGATATCTTTTCAGCTTCATTATCAGATCCTCAGCCATCTGCTTGAGCCTGTGGATGTTGAGTGTTAGCCCAAAGTTTGAAGAGTCAAAGAATTTGTAATTATGCTCTGGAATTTTCATCAGCTGACAATCCCTAACCTGCCTAATGAGTCCTAACCCACCAATTTAGCCCTAACAAGTCAGAGACTTTCCAAACTGTTCGACAAGTTGAAGAAATTTAAAGTAACTGTGCATTAACATTCAAACAACTTAAAAAAAACAACAAAATAAGTCATTCGGCCAGGTGCCCAAACTTATGCATACAACTGGAAATGTATTAAATTATTCTGTTATACAGGTTTATATAATTACAAATAATTAGTATATAGCTGTACAAAAAAGAAGATATATTAGAAGACGATGTCCAGAATGATTAATGCAGCTTTGGACGATTATTTAATAACTTCATGACTTTATAATACAACTGATATTACCATTGCCTCTTATTTTAAAAGCGTCAATCATATTTCTAACTTGACTAGAGTGTGAATAGATCAACATAGTATATTTTCCATCAGTGAATAACTTCATGTTTGTCCCAAGCCCTGAAATATTGAATAAAACATCCAAAACTACTTTTATTGTCTAATTTAGAGTACTTCAATCAATGCAAGATAAGCTATTATTGTAAAATAACACAAATTATTAATATGGCAAGTAACTCCAAACTTTTGAAGACAGGGAGCTTCTAACAGACACCCAGCAAACAAACAAAGAGGCAACACAGACATCCCAAGTGCTTTCGACTGACCTCAGAGCAGATGCAGAGCACAGGGAAGATGAAGGAGCTACCCAGTCATTCGCTGATCTGAGATCAGGCGTAATCTCGAGTTGATCCCCCGACTGAACAGCGCAACTTTCTCGCCTGATGACATTTACTGAAGAACATTCCTCTCGGTTACAGTCACAGGCGTTCGTCACATATGACTAAAGCACAGGGGTTAAACTTCCCCAGGTGAGTCAGGGCTGCTCAGAGTGAAGCTAACCCAGTGTCTGATAGAACACATGCAGATGAGACACAGAACACAGGTAGAACGGCTTCATTATCGGCTTCAGCAGATCATAACAATAAAGTCAGCAGACGCTCTCAGACTCACCTGTGCTCTCCTGCGGCTCGGTGTGTGGAAATGTGTGCGTGTGACAGCCACTACGTACAGCCCCTTTTCAGACCCTCCCTCTGTTCTCCTCCTCTTTTCTCTCTCCCTCTCTCTCTCTCTATCACTCACTCTCTTTTCTCTCTCTCTCACTCGCTCTTTCTCTTCTTCCTCTTCTTCTGTCTCTCTCTTTTGTTCTCTATCGTTCTCCCTCTCGCATTCTATCATTCTTTCCCTCTCTCTGTCATTCTCTCTTTCCCTCTTCCATTCTCTCGCTCTCGACTCGTCCCCGCTCCCATTCTCTGTCTCCGAGAGAAAGGGGGGAAAAGGGGGTGTGGACGAGTCGGAAAGCACAGAAGGTTCTTTGTCTGGCCCCCTTTTCATATGGTTTCCTTCAAGTGTTCATACTGAACACATTATGCCATTATATATTTTCATATTTAACGTATAGAGTCACTCCCTCACCTTCTCTGAGAAGCTGTTCTCCTTGGCTCTTTGCAAAAACACACCAGACCTTCTAAGAATATAAATAAATACAAATAACTGTAGCCCTAAAATTGCTTTATTGTATACAGTTGTGAACCGAGACTATTAGAGTCTTCACTTCAGCCATAAATGTCAAAATGCAGTAAAAAATAAATAAATAAATAAATAAATAAATTCTAATAATATGTTAGCGCTAAGCTAACGCTGGTGCACATGAGCATATTTTGAAGATCTGACCCTTGCATAAGACATTAATATATATTTTATCAATGTTTTACAGTCCCAACTTTAGAGCTGCTGCTGTTCCATTTCCAACAACTGACTGAAATCTGGTTAGACTACAGCTCGCATTCACAGACAGTATCTAGAACGTCTAGAAGGAATAGAGTGATAGTGAGTGAATAGAGTGTTTTTCCTTTGGTTCCACCCATTTGTGAGTCAGCACGTGGTTGGTTGATTCCACCGTGAGTGTCTTATTATGGTGGCAGTTAATCTGATGTGTTAGGCCTTCTGTCCAGCTCCTGAAGCCCTAACCAATGGGAGAGCTCTGTCGGCTGTATCCACAGAAATTAATAAAACAAATAAATAAAAATTAACTTACAAACGTGTTTTTTTAGTTCCCAGAAACCATTAGGCCTGCTCAAGTTTCGACACTGATCTTATATGCACCTTGTTATATTCAGTCATATGCAAAAGTTTGAGTGAGTTAAATGGCATGTTTTGTTTATTTTTCTACATAAAAATAATATATCATATCATAAAAACATATCATCCCATAAGGAACAAACTTAGTTTCATTTTGTCTGCAAATTTTATGCACAAGTTGCATTTATTTGCAAAGTTTAACATAAAAAATAAATATAAAATGTTCCCTAACTTTAACGTTTATTTTTTTCCCAATGTGCTCAGCAAATATACAGCTATATGCATTAAAATGTGCAGAAGTGTGTTCTCTGTAGAGGATGTGTAACTTACTTAAAAATGTTTAAGCAGGAGCCCAAACTTTCATATATGACTGTATGTCTTGTATTACTGCATGCACCATCTATGTTTTAGATCATTTTATGCATGTTTGGCAGCATTTATGTCTGTTCTATGCCTATCCAAGGTCTACAGTTAGGTAAAGTAAAAGTCAAAGGAAGAAAACGGGGAACTGATATATATGTGAGGAAACGTGCCCTAACGTGGCCCCGGAGTGCAGAGAGCTGTGTTTAGACTGCGTCTGATTGTTATGAATTATCAGAGTAGCCAGCGAAGGCTCTGATTACTCCCTCCTGTGAGTTTCAAATGGAGGCAAAAAGGCATGGGACAAAAAGCCTGTACAGATGGCTTTCACATACATTTAGTCTGATGGACTCCAAGTGGGGAAAGACCAAAGTTGGACCAAACCTGAGCTGATTCCTGAGGCTGCTTCTGTCCAAAGCTTGATGTTTCTTTTTTTCTTTTATTAGAAACACCTACCCTTCTACTTCCACTTACTGGCCACTTTATTAGAAACACCTAGCTTGTGCTTCCACTTACTGGCCACTTTATTAGAAACACCTAGCTTGTGCTTCCACTCACTGGCCACTTTATTAGAAACACCTACCTTGCGCTTTGACTCACTGGCCACTTTATTAGAAGCACCTCCCTTCTACTTCCACTCACTGGCCACTTTATTAGAAACACCTACCTTGTACTTCCACTCACTGGCCACTTTATTAGAAACACCTCCCTTGTGCTTCCACTCACTGGCCACTTTATTAGAAACACCTACATTGTGCTTCCACTCACTGGCCACTTTATTAGAAACACCTCCCTTGTGCTTCCACTCACTGGCCACTTTATTAGAAACACCTCCCTTCTACTTCCACTCACTGGCCACTTTATTAGAAACACCTACCTTGCGCTTTCACTCACTGGCCACTTTATTAGAAACACCTCCCTTCTACTTCCACTTACTGGCCACTTTATTAGAAACACCTAGCTTGTGCTTCCACTCACTGGCCACTTTATTAGAAACACCTACCTTGTGCTTCCACTCACTGGCCACTTTATTAGAAACACCTACCTTGCGCTTTGACTCACTGGCCACTTTATTAGAAACACCTCCCTTCTACTTCCACTCACTGGCCACTTTATTAGAAACACCTAGCTTGTGCTTCCACTCACTGGCCACTTTATTAGAAACACCTCCCTTGTGCTTCCACTCACTGGCCACTTTATTAGAAACACCTACATTGTGCTTCCACTCACTGGCCACTTTATTAGAAACACCTCCCTTGCGCTTTCCACTCACTGGCCACTTTATTAGAAACACCTCCATTGTGCTTCCATTTACCGGTCACTTTTTTAGAAACACCCACCTTGCGTTGCCACTCACTGGCCACTTTATTAGAAACACCTACCTTGTGCTTCCACTCACTGGCCACTTTATTAGAAACACTCACCTTCCGCATTCACTTACTGGCCAGTTTATTAGAAACCCCTACCTTCTACTTCCACTTACTGGCCACTTTATTAGAAACACCTACCTCACTGGCCATTTTATGAGCCCCACCTATCTTACAGGTTCACTCCACAGGTGTATAATTAGCCGCTCCGTGCTTTTGTCCAAATATGTTTCTCATTTCTGTTGCCCAAGAGCGGCGCGCCTGCTCAGTCTTCCACACAAATACTTGTGTCTGTTTGAGATTTCATACCAGGGTGATACTGGAGGCCTCGCACATACAGTCATAGTCATCTGGCTTTGCTTGAATGAGAGTGTGTCTGCAAACTTTGATCTTCGACCACAGGCATACACTGCATAGAAAACATAGCACAGCAAAGCTATAAATTATTGGGGCTGGTTTTCCAGACATAGATTAGGCCTAATCTTGGACTAAATTAGATGTCTAGGTCTATAGAGATTCTTAAACTTAAAAAACAGCCTTTTAAGTTTGAGATTAGGCTTCGTATGCATGTAGACAACCAGCCTGTTGTAGCTCTCAGTTAGGGTCATATACAGTACTGTGCAAAAATCAGACCAGTCTTCATTTCAATTTCCAGTCAAAATGGCCTTTAAGTTTAAGTTATTTATTTTTCAGCATCAAGAAAAAAGCAAAAATTGTATATTTTACTTGGAAGCCTAAACAACTAAGTGCCATATCAACATTCTCAGCCTTTATTACAGCTTCCTTCTATTTTTGCAGAGATATTTTTCCATACTTTCAAAGTTCAGTCTTGTTCAGTTGGTTGTATTTTCTGCTTCTCACCGTCCAAATAATCCCAAACCCACTCAGTGATGTTGAGGTCTGGACTCTGGGGTGGTCAGTCCATTGTTCAGCTTCTTTGTTTGATGTGTCCGTCTCCTTTTCTCAGTGAGGTTCTTCTTGACAGCTACACATCCTTTCAGACCCATAGCGCTGAGTCGTCTTCTCACAGTGGAAGGATGGACAGAAACACCTGTAGATGTTTTCAGATCTGAAGCAGCTTGATTTTCTCCTCTCTCTCAAAGATGAAAGCTTTAAATGCTGTTTATCTGACAGTGTTGGTGTCTACCAGGTGTTCCAGGTGGCTGTTAGGAGTCCCATTTTCTATGTAACTTTAAATAATTTTTTAACTCCAGTTTTGGAAACCAGAAACTGTCTCCTTCCTTATGCAAGTGGATTAAATTACATCTAATCTCAGAAATATCTGCTAAAAAAAAAAAACTTGAGATTTTAAGGGTGTTGCGTAACAATGTGATCCAGAGCAAGTCTGACATAAACAAATCCACAATAAGACTTGCTGAACAACAACAAACTCCAAATACACGTAATGCAAACAGCATATCAACTGACAATAATGGTCATAAATGTGCTCAGTGAGGAGAACCTCCACTGGGAATGTTCTGCATTCAATCTGGGCCATAGATCACTTTGATTCATTCCACTCTTGCTCTCCCTTTTTCTCAATGCATGTTTATTTTCTTTTTTTTTCCAACGCCCCCTCCACAGCTGGTCGGCCTGCCGTTGCTGCTCTGCGTCCTGTGGGCTAGCTTGACTTTCCAAAGGGCAGCTGTGTGTGTATGTGTGTGTGTGTTTGAGACCCACTACGGACGTGTGTGTGTGTGCGTGTGTGTGTGTGTGTGCAGCGTCTGTGTGTGGGTGAATGGGAAATGTTAAAACACATTCCATCAGATCGGGGCTTTTCTTCGTTCTCTGGCCTGCTGGAATGTCCTAAGTGTTCTGGTCTGCGTTCTTTTTGCTTTTGTCTCGTACACAGAGAGTTATTAAGCACGGCTCTGACTGAGCTCCGACATGATTAGAATCATACGCGGCCTGCAAACGAACCCCCGCACCCCTCAGCCAGACCACCAGCATCCTAACCCTCCTCTCCTGCAGATTCACAAGCCTGAGCCCAGTGGGGGTGAGTATCAGTAACTGGATAAGACTGAAAGCAATGCAAGAGAGAGTTCATAACTGAGTCATACCAGTAACTGGTTAAGATGGAATGCAATGTGAGTTAGAGCTGAGAAATCAGTTGTATCAGTTACTGACTGAAGCTTAGCTGAAGCTAAATTGCATCATTTACTGGTTAGTACTGGAAGCAGAGGCTAAATGGGGTCATATTGGGTTAGTACTGAAACTAGAGTGAGTTAGAGATGAGAACTGATAGTTACTGGCTGAAACCGAAACCAGTATGTGTTAGAGTTCAGAACTCAGTTGTGCCAGTAATGG